CACCCCACTGTCCTGCTGGATACAGCTTATCTAAAGTGATCATCAAGTTGGGCCATTTCCAGCACTAATCCAGGTTTTCTCACCCTCCGCCCCCTCCCCCTCACACACACAAACTCACTCTCCTGCTGGTAATAGCCCATCCAAAGTGACCACTCTCTTCACAATGTGTATGATAATCAAGGTGGGCCATTTCCTGCACAAATCCAGGTTCTCTCACCCCCTCACACCCCTCCAAAAACCACACACACAAACTCAATCTCCTGCTGGTAATAGCTTATCCAAAGTGACCACTCTCCCTACAATGTGCATGATAATCAAGGTGGGCCATTTCCAGCATAAATCCAGGTTTTCTCACCCCCCCACCCCCATACACACACAAACTCGCTCTCCTGCTGGTAATAGCTCATCCAAAGTGACCACTCTCCCTACGATGTGCATGGTAATCAAGGTGGTCCATTTCCAGCACAGATCCAGGCTTTCTCACCCCCCCCCCCCCCCCCGGGACACACACACACACACATAAACTCACTCTCCTGCTGGTGCTAGCCCATCCAAAGTGACAACTCTTTACATAATCAAGTCGGGCTATTTCCTGCATAAATCCAGGTTTTCTCACATCCCCCCCACCCCCATACACACACAAACTCACTCTCCTGCTGGCAATAGCTCATCCAAACTGACCACTCTCCAAGTTTAACCAGAACGTCGGGGGGGGGGGGGGTAGGAAAAAGCAAGGGGAAATAGGCTACCTTGCATAATGACTTAGCCACTCCCAGTCTCTATTTAAACCTAAATTAATAGTATCCAATTTGCAAATGAATTCCAATTCAGCAGTTTCTCGCTGGAGTCTGGATTTGAAGTTTTTTTGTTTTAAGATAGCGACCTTCATGTCTGTGATTGCGTGACCAGAGAGATTGAAGTGTTCTCCGACTGGTTTATGAATGTTATAATTCTTGACATCTGATTTGTGTCCATTTATTCTTTTACGTAGAGACTGTCCAGTTTGACCAATGTACATGGCAGAGGGGCATTGCTGGCACATGATGGCATATATCACATTGGTGGATGTGCAGGTGAACGAGCCTCTGATAGTGTGGCTGATGTTATTAGGCCCTGTGATGGTGTCCCCTGAATAGATATGTGGGCACAGTTGGCAACGGGCTTTGTTGCAAGGATAGGTTCCTGGGCTAGTGGTTCTGTTGTGTGGTATGTGGTTGTTGGTGAGTATTTGCTTCAGGTTGCGGGGCTGTCTGTAGGGAAGGACTGGCCTGTCTCCCAAGATTTGTGAGAGTGTTGGGTCATCCTTCAGGATAGGTTGTAGATCCTTAATAATGCGTTGGAGGGGTTTTAGTTGGGGGCTGAAGGTGATGGCTAGTGGCGTTCTGTTATTTTCTTTGTTAGGCCTGTCCTGTAGTAGGTGACCTCTGGGAACTCTTCTGGCTCTGTCAATCTGGATTTGTGCAGGAAATGGCCCACCTTGATTATCATACACATTGTGAAGAGAGTGGTCACTTTGGATGGGCTATTACCAGCAGGAGAGTGAGTTTGTGTGTGTGGGGGCGGAGGGTGAGAAAACCTGGATCTGTGCTGGAAATGGCCCAACTTAATGATCACTTTAGATAAGCTATAACCAGCAGGAGAGTGAGTTTGTGTGTGTATGGGGGGGGGGGGTGAGAAAACCTGGATTTGTGCTGGAAATGGCCCACCTTGATTATCAGGCACATTGTAGGGAGAGTGGTCACTTTTGATAAGCTATTACCAGCAGGAGAGTGAGTTTGTGTGTGTGGTTTTTGGAGGGGGGTGAGGGAGTGAGAGAACCTGGATTTGTGCTGGAAATGACCCACCTTAATTATCATACACATTGTGAAGAGAGTGGCCACTTTGGATGGGCTATTACCAGCAGGAGAGTGAGTTTGTGTGTGTGTGGGGGCGGAGGGTGAGAAAACCTGGATTTGTGCTAGAAATGGCCCAACTTGATGATCACTTTAGATAAAGTATTACCAGCAGGACAGTGGGGTGGGAGGGGGTATTGTTTCATGGTCTCTGTGTGTATATAATGTCTACTGCAGTTTCCACGGTATGCATCCGATGAAGTGAGCTGTAGCTCATGAAAGCTCATGCTCAAATAAATTGGTTAGTCTCTAAGGTGCCACAAGTCCTCCTTTTCTTTTTGTTTCTTTAATACGCTTCATATTAGAGCAGGAAATTACTTACTCTTGCTGTCTGTCTGGATTTGAGAGCTAGCGTGATGGAGAGGGTGGAAACCCCAAAGGTCGACTGTTAGGCAGACTAAAGCCTCTTCCATGCCACTTGGAGAACGCTTTTCCAGCAAATTCAACATGTGCTGAACCTTCTGTCTGTGTCCCAACAACTGTTCTTTTGACTGAAAACTGGTTGATGTTTGTTGTCCAGGGCTTGTGTTCATTCTGTGCCTTTAGCATTAGTATTGGGAACACGATCGGAACCCTGCTGTCAGTCACACACCAGCTAACTTGTAGACTGGGGTTTAAATTTGCATCGTGAGACACCTTCACGGGGCCTGGTTTTCATAAAGTGTTGAACACCAACACACTGAGAATCAGGATCCTTTAAGATGGCGCTTGTCTGTTAGCCCAAATCACTAGTCAGACCTGAAAGTGCAGTTCTGGGACAACGAATGGGTTGTATTTCCTTGCTCCCACAAATATGTGGGGAGGGGTGGGCAGAAAATTGCATTACGTTGTTTTCTGAAGACACTGGTGGAATGATCCCGGAAATATTCTTGCTCCTTGTGATTCCTAAATTCCAGCTCTGCAACCCTGTTGACCTAGTATGGATGAAATATTTGGCCCACTGTGTTCAGAGATGGGGGAAGAACAGTGTTATAACAAAAACCCTGTAGCAAGGGAATAACCTGAGACTACACAAGCTTTGTATGTAATAGGCCCAAGGCAGAGATAAGGGTCTTTTACTTACTAGCCGGCCATGAAGTAAGTTTATCTGATTACTTTTATCTCTTTGCATCTGAAAACATGATTTTCTTGAATTTATTTATGCTGTTTGTTCTTACGATTTATCAAAGATGTAACACCATCAGCAGGTGCCCATCCTGTGCTGTACAAGACCTGATAACAATTAAAAATGGACAATTTCATACTAGTATACACTGTAACAAGGAACAGACTACTTATTCCTACCTAGATAGATAAGTAGCTACTCAGTCCCTACCTAATACTCTTATGAGTAAATAAAAAAACCTTCTCTGTGCAAACCACCCCCTCCCTTAGCACCTGTGAGAAAAACAGGCAACAGAAGGTTAGCAGATCCAAGCCGTCTGCTGAACCACTTATCCGTTCTTCAATATTATTCAGGTTTCAGAGTAACAGCCGTGTTAGTCTGTATTCACAAAAAGAAAAGAAGTACTTGTGGCACCTTAGAGACTAACCAATTTATTTGAGCATGAGCTTTCGTGAGCTACAGCTCACTTCATCGGATGCATGCCGTGGAAACTGCAGCAGACTTTATTTATACACAGAGAATATGAAAAAATACCTCCTCCCACCCCACTGTCCTGCTGGTAATAGCTTATCTAAAGTGATCATCAGGTGAGCCATTTCCAGCACAAATCCAGGTTTTCTCACCCTCCACCCCTCCACACAAATTCACTCTCCTGCTGGTGATAGCCCATCCAAAGTGACAACTCTTTACACAATGTGCATGATAATCAAGTTGGGCCATTTCCTGCACAAATCCAGGTTCTCTCACATCCCCCCCACCCCCATACATTGTGTGTGTATGGGGGTGGGGGGGATGTGAGAGAACCTGGATTTGTGCAGGAAATGGCCCAACTTGATTATCATGCACATTGTGTAAAGAGTTGTCACTTTGGATGGGCTATCACCAGCAGGAGAGTGAATTTGTGTGTGGGGGGGTGGAGGGTGAGAAAACCTGGATTTGTGCTGGAAATGGCCCACCTGATGATCACTTTAGATAAGCTATTACCAGCAGGACAGTGGGGTGGGAGGAGGTATTTTTTCATATTCTCTGTGTATAAATAAAGTCTGCTGCAGTTTCCACGGCATGCATCCGATGAAGTGAGCTGTAGCTCACGAAAGCTCATGCTCAAATAAATTGGTTAGTCTCTAAGGTGCCACAAGTACTTCTTTTCTTTTTGTCAATATTATTCAGTGTGTTTTGTTTCATTCTGTTTGAGCTGTGTGGGTTAGTTGTGGTTGGTGATATATCACATGGTGTTGTTCCCTGCCGGAGTGAATGGAACTCTCAGGATTCTGGTGTGAAAGGTCCCAGAAAGTTTGAGATTTGCTATTTGAGAACATTCATGCTAATAAGACATGATTATGTTAAAAGGTCAGTGAATGCACATGAGGCAAGAGACGTTGCTTAAAAATGCAAAAAAAAATAAATAAATAAAAAAATGGTGGAAAGGTGTTTGCAGCATTTGTTCAGCTCTAGTTTGCATTTTTAATCTCTCTCCTCTTGATTCTGAATTCATCTAGAAGCCTATAAGTTTGTCTTCAAGGGCTTCAGGGCATCCTCATTGGGGATGGAGGGACTAGGGGAGTTGTGAAGGTCTGGAAGATGCCTGGGGAAAATAAGACTTTCTGGAGGAGTTTAGTACAAGCTGCACAGAAGCTCTGCCTTGATTTGGGAATACACCTTCCATCTGGAGCGTCTGAGCTTTCATTACCCAGTGTCCTTTGTATCTTGGAAACTGTAAAATCAATGCCATTTAAAATTTCTAACACCAATTAGCATCTGGCAGAAGCGAGCTATGGATGTTCCATAGCCTGGATGACTTATAATGGGTGTGGGCAAAGTCCTAGCAAAGATGCAAGAGACAACAATCTTGCATTAAGAGGAGGGGGAAAGGACTATGTGACATAACTAGTTTTTCTCTGCTCTTACTCCCTCTGGTTTAAGAACATTGCTTTGGTCCTATTTCTTGTGTGTTTGCATTTGCATTTCTGCCTCGAGGGTGGAATGCATATGTTTGATCTCACCTTGAAGAAGGTCATGGTAGCTCCATCCTTCACAGCTCCATACTCTATTTTCGTTTGCTTTGCCAGATCATCTGCCGAGTCGATGGGGGATTCCATTCTCTCCACAGTCAGGAAGGCAGCAAGGTTGGCTGTGTAGGACGAGATGATGATGAGCGTGAAGAACCACCAGATGCCGCCAATGATCCGTGTAGACAGAGCTTTGGGCATCAGCTCAGACCCTAGGAGAGTAGGAAAAGCAGTTGAAATGAGTCAGAAAAGAAAGAGAGAAAAGAAATAAAAAGAAAACAGTACATATTTCAAGCACTAGGTCACATTGCTGAACTGTAACAACTGCACAAATTAAGCCAATTGTTTTTAATGCAAATTACCCAGACGTCTTGCATGCAAAGAAATTTGTATTTTTTTTCTGTAGCATTTGCAGAATTTTCTCTCTTTGTTGCTGACCTTGGGTACAGTGCACAGTTTACAGGAAACCTTCAAAACTGAAGTAATTAACTAGGCTGCTTTTATGAGATTTAAATAGCAAGTCATTTATGAACTTTTATGAGTGTTTTGCTCTGCCATTTAAAAAGCGCTTTACTTTTATATGAATTACTTCTCAAAGGCCTCATTCTGGGGGGAGTATTCAAATACACAAGGCTTAAAAAAATCAAACAATGCAAGAGAGAAATGATCAGGATCCATTACTTTGAATAGCTGCTGGAGGTAGAAAAGTAGGAGATCTTGTACAGCATGGAAGGTGTAACTCGCCTGGAATGACTGTGACTGAACGGAGATGAAGGACTAAATGGGCTGTGCTATTTTTGCAATCTCGTGAGACACTGATTAAAAATGGGGAAAGGGGTTGGGTTTGAAACAGCTGCAGTCAGAAGACATTTCTGATCTGGAATTTGCATGGAAAGTTGGATTCTGCAAGATAATTTAAGGAGTGTGGCGTTAAAGTGTGGCACATAATGCAGCATTTCCCTCGCATTAGGTGCCTGAGGAAGCAAGGTTGTCTCATCAAGAACTTATTCCTGCTCCATTCTGTCTCATCCTTTGGTGTAGCTGAAGGCGTGGCTCTGAAAACCATTTCTGAATCAGATGCAGAATGGAGTTAAAAGCAACACAGGGGACCTCTAATTTAACTGCGTCCAGTAAGGGAATGATTCATCCTGCTACAATGTCTCCCTGGATACTGACCTTGTCCAGCTCTGGGAAGAATCTTTATTAAGTGTTGCTACAGTGCTGGCAGGGGGACACAGAACAATATTTCTTGTGGGTGTTGCTGAACTAATGCTTTGGGTTCTTTTAGTTTCCCTGCCGTGACCATAAGTGGATCTGGGTGGAATAATTCATAATTTAATCATGCGTGCGATACATTTCATTTCTCCGTTCCTGAATTGTCTGCAACCAGATCACAACTGGCTTGGGTTTTATTCCTGACTTAAAAATAACTCACCAAACAAATCCTTGCACTGGGACTCCCTTGTGCACAGTTCACTGCATGTATGCCACGTTTGAAATTCAAACTATTTTGATTGGACAGCCAAGTCACATGGTATGTCCTCGTTTGGGCAAGTGTAACGTGTAGGAACAAGCTTCTGGTGTAAATGGTCATGGCTATGAATCCAATTGGAGCCTTTTCATTGGCTCTGGTGGGCTTTGGACCAGGCCCTATGTGAAATTAGTTGGTGAGACAAGTTTCAGCTTATCTTGAAGTTTTCTTTCTACAGAAGAGCTGGCAGGGTTCATAGCCCTAGTAAGTCCACAGCCATCCATGGCACCTCTCACAATCTGAATCCAGACACTCCTTTCCAATTCGAGCTCAATCCTCTCGCAAACGGACTGTTTGCTCCAATCTGGGCAAACGTTAAAACCAGATGGTGCTTGACAAGCGACTGAAGAACCCAAATGGAACTGCAGTAGCTGTAAAGGAGCTGGGACCAGCCAAGTGAGCCGTACCAGGAAAAACACCTTGCGTGGTAACGTGTGGGATGGGAGTGAGTTTCCCTGGCTCTTCTAGGGCACCGAGGGCCTGTGGAGCTGTGCTTGCTTGCACTAGACCTGAGCTGCACCCACTGTGTGCAGCCAGGGAGAAGTGTAGGATTCAGCAATGCAGATACAGCCCAGCGTTGCTCCCAGGGTAACAGCCTTTTGTCAATGGAGGTTCAGGGTCTGGAGAAAAGCACGAGACACTTCCTGTACAAACTGACTTCTCTTTTCATCTTAAAAACCTGGTTGGAATAACTTTTTTTTCTGAATCCACAAACATGTGTCTTTCTTCTCTCCTACTTCTCTCATTTACCGCCCTACCCCACCATAGGTCTCTTTCTGACAAACGCTCAGATACTGTTCTTCCACTGGTCCAGTGTTGCTCTTATTCCTGGATATGCAACCAGACAAATGACACCCAAGTGAGGCAGGGTACCGCTGACTGCTGAGCTCCAAAACCCATGGACGACTGCATCGTGACGGACCTGGGTATTTCTGAACTCATTTAAGTCATCCCTCTCAAACAGCCCCCATTTCAGTCCCAAAGTTCCATGGCAGCCTCTCACTTCGACTGCAGAAAATTACTGACAGCAAAGAATAAAGCATCCTGGGACTGAGGCTATAAACAGAGTTGGTCACACTAAGCAAAGGGTTCCTGCAGCTGTTTGTTTCCTGCATGGGTAGTTCTTTATGTACCGCATTCTGGGTCTCTGCCACGTACTGTGCCCCACTGCTGGGCCTTGACAGATCATCAGGTCTGGTTTACTTACTTTTAAAGTTTGTTTTTGGAAATTTGGAAGACTCTAATCAAGAGAAGTCTCATGTTGAGCCTCTGTTCAGCTTGAAACAATTCTGCTCTAATCCATCCAGCCTATTTCTAAGGTTCCTGTCACTATGGTATCAAAGAACTCCTCAGACATTAACTCCTGCAGACACCATCGAAGGGCGTTTTGGGAAAGTGCCCTAGTACGTTTTGTACGGCTTCCTCAAGACTGGAACACAGATGGGATGTGGAGAAGACATGTGGGAGAGGAAAGACACTAGACTGTACTTTCATTATACAGCTCTCCTTAGGTGATGAACATTTACACTGCTAGCTAAGAAAACAGGTTTTTGAAGGTACTTTCAATTGCACTTTATTTAATTGGCAGCTATGGAGTCCATCAAAATGAGTGTTCCAGCAGAAAGCCCTATTATCATCTAGGAGTATTTTATGAATTACCTGTGCCAAGGATCAGTGGATGTGTTTGTAGTTTTTGAACTTCTCAATTCACTGAGCTGAAACCCATCTGATATTTTGGATGCTATACCTAGTGACTGACCAAAGCCTTTCTCAAAGGGTTCTGTTGTTTTAGGGTCTGTCCACTGTCTGTTCTCCCTTCCATGCCGTGCTAGGATGGAGTCACCACGTGGGAAGAAATGTTAAACCCTCAGCCGCATGCATTGCGTGAGAACTGGTTCTACTAACGACCAGTGAATGGTGTGAGGCAGGTTAGATCTTCCTGAAAGTAAATGAATCACTTAAATTATTAAAGCTGTGTCACCAGAGAAAGAGAGATGGGGGGCTACTGCTCCACCTGGTGAATTTAAGCAGCTGAGATGGATTGTAACATAATGTATTCTCACACACAAATGCACTTCCAGCTGATCTTTTAGGGGTATATTTTCAGACTCCCTATTTCTGACATAGTTTGTGCCTATAAAAACTGCACCCGTATTGTTGGTTTTTTTGCATGTGTGGGTAAGTCACATATTTGCTCCAACAGCCAGGTGCAGAGCTGTCTAAATGGGGGATTCCGCATCCTTGATAAACAACAGGCACAAAGATAAGCAGTTGTGAAACTTCACTCACACAAAGAGGTGAAGCTGGGGCCAGGCTGAATCTTGGACCCCTAAGATGTAGTAACTCACTTTATTTATTTAGTCTTTATATCAATTTAGACCTACTGGTAACTCTACCCCATGTTCTGGGCATAGGGTGACCAGGTGTCTGGTTTTCGACTGGAACACCCAGTCGAAAAGGGACCCTGGTGGGTGGGGTCAAAAGGGAAGGGGTGGGGCCTCGGGGAAGGGGCAGGGCTAGGGTGTTCATTTTCTGCCATTAGAAAGTTGGCAGCCCTATCTGGGCACTCTTGGCATCTGTGTAAAACTTCAATGTCAAGCTCCGTGTGACGCTGGAGTTGCCAAACATAAAGCAGCTGCAGCCACACCTCCTTTATCCTGCCCTACTGAGCACCATCCAGTCACCCCTCACAGGACTAGTAAATTTGAACACGGCCCCCCTACCTCCCACCAGACCGAAACCTCCCTCAGTCCTACGCCGAGGCCGGCTCAGACAGATGGGCTTTGTGACATGCCCGGGAGGTCAGCAGGTCCAGGCGATTTCAGAAGTTGGAGGGTAGGAAGAACATGGCAATGGAAAGGAGGTTTTTTTATAATGAGAAGGATGTAGCTAGAGGTCTCTGCTGATGGCAGATGGGGCAGCATGGCTTTAACTGACAGTCCTCGTGGAAGCGCTTATTCCATTCTCTCTTACCTCTCTTACCACGGGGCAGGCGCTTCCCCAAATAAATTACAGTGACTTCTACTGTAGAAACAATCTCTGTGTTCAACAATTCAGAGCAGGAGGTGAGCACTCTCCTGCCTCCACCCTCATGAGGAGATAAGGTGAAAAAGAACACGCCGGTCTCTGTTGGGTGAGCAAAGAAGAGTCCTCTAGCCCCACCCTCCTGTGACAGATGAGGAACTGTTCAGGTTTTCTGGAGAGTCTCCGTACCAACGCCTCTGGCTGAGGCAGCTGGATTCCTATCTCAGGCTGGGTTAGTTCTTTGCCAAACTGGTTTTAATGTCCTTTCTCCCCTATTTCCCGCCAGCTACACAAAGCAGTGAAAGCACAGTCTACAAACGAAAGGAAAATCATGGCAAGTGAATTATGCCCTACATAGACCCCAGGACCCTCCTGAGCTCCAAGTCATGGCTGGTTTCCATGGATCAGATTAATTCCACTTAGGCATTTATCTAATTAACCCCTGTCTGGCCTTGTTTGCACTAGGCTCACTGGCGCACGTGCAGCTGGATAACGCAAAGCCCTGGATTGTATACAACACACACACATCCAACCAACTCTCCGGAGAATTGCTTCTATCTGAGCTCGCCACTTGTGCATGGTACATCTCAATCAGAAAGAGTAACAGGAGAGACAAATAGTTCATCCCACGGTGGATGCCATGAGCAGTAAAACTGTCAGCGGAGAGCGATCTCCCAGTTCCTGCAGCTAACTGCCTACCCAGCGTGGAGACAAAAAGCCGGTGTTGACAAGCACTTCTGTAATCGTTAAGAGACAAACTTCACAATTTCAAACCCAATGTCTGTGCCTGTCAGCGTGCAGTAACATAGCTCCTCTCTGCAACCCGGGCGTAGGGCTGCCACATTTATTCTTTTTGCTACAGTTGGTTGTTTTTGACAAGCGCAACTGTGCTTTACCTTGCTCCTGTCAAACATCAGGCACCAAACAAAAGCTCTCACCGTCACAGAAAATAGCAGAGTGTGTGTGTGGGTGTGGTGGGGGGTTAGGGGGGCCAGCCGTACCTTGCTGCATAAGCGCTCCCATTCCAAACCAGAAGCTGTTGAGCAGGGTGAAGTTATTCTCCACGATGTCTGATCCCGGGTTGCAGGGGTGAGCGTCGTACCACTCATACGGGCTGAACCTGTGGAAAGCAAGAGCGTGGTGTTTGGGAGGTTGCATGAGAAGGGCCCAATGGACCGGGAAAGGCAGAGCTGTTCCAGATGGAGCTGTTCCAGAGCGCCTGCTGACCCCTGACATTTCTCCATCTCTTAAACCCAGGGAGAAGCTTGGCCAAGAATTTCCAATGTGATTAGGGGTTTGGGGAACCTCAAGTTTTGGGAGCCCAACTTGAGACCCCTGATAAAGAGGCCTGCATTTCAGACGGTGGGTGCTCAGCATCAGGCCCCTTCATGGCGTCTCAGGCTGGGCCCCCAAAGTCACCGGCCCCTTTTGAAAAGCATGGCAGAGGACTTTCCAGTCATACACAGTCAGCAGAAGCATGAGGCTGATGGAATGGAATGAGGCACAAACACAGGAGCTCCTCTCGTACCTAGTATGAACAAAGGACTCTTCTGTGCCCACCGGGCAGATTCTGCAATAATTTCTCAGCATCATCTCATGCAAAGTGTAGTATTTCAGAGACGCTGGGGAGCTACTTCCCCCCGGAGCACAGGAGGATCTGTTTGTGTTTTAATTGCTGTTGGAAGAGGAGTATTTTGCAGAAACACAAGTCTCTTGCAGTGGGCACAACAGCACATTCGGTGGAACCCTGTACAGCCTCCCAGCAGAAGTAGGGAGCTCCTGCATCTCCCCCACTGGAGTTATCCCTAGAATAACTTTGCTGTCAAGGCTTGCCTACGCTACTGAAATATGCCAGGCTAACCGTTACTGTTCCCCCTCAAGCACCCCTGGCACCCAAGCACAGACGTTCTCACGCTGCTTTGCAAGTTTGCTAACTGCCATTTGGAGAAGAGTACGCTTCACCAGGGTTAAATACTGACTAATTCAGAACTCCTTTCGTGCCAGAGGGTGGTAGATGCAACTGTTGAACTAGCTGCTGACTCAGTGACCCACAATGCACCAGTGGCCTTGCAAAACCTCCCAGAATGCTCTGTGTCAGACAGATGTGCTAGGAACTGTGGGACAGGTACTTCAGGTAAGAGTATAAGGAAGGAATATGCAAGATGCTCCATTTCAGCACCTAGCAACCTGGGCAAGCATAACCCCTCTTCCCTGTCATGGGGGTAGCTCTGCCAAGACTTACTTGCAGCTGAGATGAGCTTAACACAGCAAATACCTGCTGAGCCGGGGAGGCTCTAGTGGGCTACTTAACAGAAGCATTGCCTCCAGACCCAACAAGTACCGCGGCTTGCAGCGTGGCTTCAGCAATGTGCAGACCCAGCGCAGCAGGTGAATGGAGGAGTCTGTTAATTGCACAGGTCTGTTCTCATGCCCAGCCCAGCAGTTTACAGACAAAATCAACAGCCTGTTGTAGTCGCCTCTCGGCACAGTTGAAAGCCCTGCCTGAGACGGATGGGTAAATACATCTTTTAACGGCGCTCACTCAACCAGGATCCTGAGGGGGCTCTCGTCAGGAGAGATGCTAATATTTTTAGAGCTGTTTATTCACATTTGCTAAGAGTCCCAAATTTTGCAGTGATTAAATTAAAGACATAATTGGCATAATTGCTTTTGAACCAGACATATTAATTATTATCAGCTCAGCTTCCTTTAGAAATCCCTGTAGTCCTGCCTCAAATCCTGCAGCCCCCCGTTTGTGTTAGGAGAGGTGTTTTAAAATAACTTGTAGGTCTCCACCAGATGTGGTGCTCTTTGGGGAGATGTCCCATTTAGTTTCATGGGGTTTCCTCAATCGGAGAGGGACAGATGTCTTTGGGGGGGTTGGGGAGAGGAGAATTCAGACTTCAGGCACTGAAAGGAACCTTATAACAGTGCTTTTGCAGAAAGTGGCACACCTTCACCTTTGCACATGTAGAACATTAAATATTAAAATTGGAAAATTAAAAACTAGACTGAACAAAGCACTAGAAAATACCCGGTAGGGAGCAATCCTGAATTTGCCAGGCTATAGGCTAAATGGGGCATCACAGGACTTTGTACTTCACAAAGTCTTGCAAATTAATTTTGAGTATATTTGTGCTGTGCGAGGAAACTGATAGATAAATCTGTCCATTCCTCCATGTTGGGGAATTATTTTTTCCCCGTTAATGACATTTATAGTTTTCATCAGAACATTTCTTCAGCATTTTTGGGTATTAAGTGAAATCTGGCAACTGAAAATGAATGATTTCCCCCGCCAACAAAAACCCTCCAAAGATCGATGAAAACGGAATGATTATGATTACTGGAACATTTGTCTGGTCAGAAATGCTGTGATGAAGAGCGTTGTCCATCTCTGTTCTCCATGTGCTTGTCAGTGCAGTATGTGAGTTCCTCTCCCGGATCACATCCCTCCCCGCATTTTCACTCAGGTGCACGACTGGCAGCAGCACTGGAGGCTTCCCCGGCTCTGCCCTACTAGGGTGTCTCAATCCCAACCTGCCAGAACCACCCTGGAGGGGACACATACGTCTCCATGACCCATTGAATCGTAGACATCTCTGCTAAGACTGCCCATAAAGGGACAAGTGGAAGACTCTAGTGACATGGACCCCAAATTACTTCACACACTGTTACTGAACTCTCAGTCACTGCCAGGTCACATTTGAGAGGACCGGAGGATCTTGACTCTGGAAGTCTGTGTTCAATTCCTGGCTCCGCCACAGACTGACTGTGTAACCTTGGGCAAGTTACTTCCTCTCTCTGTGCCTCAGTTTCTTATCTGTCAGATGGGGATAATATTCCATCCTTCCTCTCATTGTTTGCCTGGTCTGTTTAGACTGTGAGCTCGTTGGGGCAGGGGCTATCTCTTACCAGTGTTTGCACAGCACCCAGCACCCTGCTTTGGTTTGAGCACTACAGTATTACTAGTCTGTCTAGGTATTGATTGGTCTATCCCTTTCCCATCCCTCTGCTTTAAAAAAAAATTAGAAAGGAAGACAAAATTGTACTGAAATTAAAGTCGGCTTTAAATACTGCCCATTTCTTTAATGGCCTGGGCTGAAGTGTGCCAGGGCTTTACATTGAGAGTACATAAAATATAGCGAGCAAGCCAGACCCATTGACTGAAGCCAGAGTTGAAGAATTAGATAAAAACTTTCTCCGGCTGCCAACTGAAAGAATATAAAATGGAAGGGGAATTGGGAAGATCAAATGAGCCCAACAAGATAACACGCTGAAGGTCTCTGAGTGAGAACCTGGTAGTGCTGCTCAAATTACAGAGAAATATTCAGAAGACTGCAAAGCAGGGGAGTGACTTCAGTGCCTGAAAAGGCTCATGGGACCATTAAAGCAACAGAGGCATAATGAAGGCATGGAGGGGTTCATTCCTTCCCTCTTGTTGGAGCCATAATAAATGGGAGCCGCTAAGGATTCATGGGGGCAGGCTTTCCTCCCCCCTATGTGAGGACCAGGTTTCAAGTGAAATGGTTCATGAGAAAATACAATTATTTTTTGACAGGTTTCAGAGTAGCAGCCATGTTAGTCTGTATTCACAAGAAGAAAAGGAGTACTTGTGGCACCTTAGAGACTAACCAATTTATTTGAGCATAAGCTTTCGTGAGCTACAGCTCACTTCCTTTTTTGGTTTTTCTTTGCAGGAAGAGCGGGGAAGCATTTCAAAGAAGGCTCAAGTAGAAAGCAAGGATCTATCACAAAATACTTTGAGGCTAAATTGCATCTCTAGAGAAATCTCTCATGGGTGGCATGGCCCTTATTAGGATTAAAATATTTAAAAACCTCCATGCATGATCCCCTGATCAGTAGTAATTTGGGGATCACATCACTGAGAGCAAGAGGTGATGATTAGAAGGGAACAGCCGGCTGCACTGCTGGCTTGGATCATTGTATAAGTGTCACCAGACAAATTACCACCATGAAGCTGTTCTGTATCTCTAGCGTTTATGGCTCTTTGGGGATCAGGGTGGTTAGAGGCAGTGGCCCCATCAAGAAGCAGGAAAGACGGATTAAAAGTGATGATGGATCAAATACATCCTTTGCCTGCCTCTAAATAGTCCCCGAGTCGGTTTTAAGTGTCACTGACCTATGATGATAGCTTCGACAGAGGCCCCTGGTGCCTAGTCTGGGAGGCGCATGTCTTTGAATTACAGCTTGACTATTTGACTTTGTTTTTCTTCTGAGAATAGAACTTCCAGAGGCTTTGCGAGGGTCAAGAGCAGGCATTGTTTCCATTATGTCTGGAGACCATAAATAAACCCACCATTTTCCCCGTGATATCTCTCGCTCTCCATCTGCATTCATTAAAGGATCATTCCTGTACAACTTTAATCACACTGGATGCTAGAAATTCCTTAAAAGGGCACTAGGGCAGAAGAAAATGGCAGAAGTAGAACCTATTAGTTAGAAAGAGGAGGAAAAAAGGAAACTGTATGTGCAAGGGTGGCTATAAATTATTGTACCCTGTGAGTAACCGGATAGGAAAAATGCTATATTACATTGCAGGCATCATGATGTGACTCAGGCATTGGCTTTGCTACAAATCTGTACATTTTATCAGTGCAAACTAAACCGAAGGAAGTTGTATGGAAAGCTAGGGAACAGCAAATGATAAATGACATGGAAGAAATTAATGTTAACCCATTTCAACACCTGGATTTGGGCCATGCAAAGTGGGACCAAACCTGCCACTTCACAATGGAGCCAGGCTTCAAACTTTTCTGGGGCTGAGACCCTCAGTCTGAGGAGATATGGACACTCTGACAGTGGACAGCCATTTCATTGGAGACTTCAAGAGTTGGCAGGCCGAGCTAAATGGAAGGAGTTCCCTCATCATTTTGACCCTGGATTTGCAGTGCACTGTGAAGTGCATCTGAGCATCCAGAGTGTCCCCTTTGGAATCATCAGGTAGAGTTTAAGAAGGAGCAAACTGCAGCTTGAATTGTGAATGTGTGTCGCTCCTGTAATCTCAGCAACCAGATCAGTGATATCAGTCAACGCCGAACAGAGACGTTACTGGAAATAGAAAAGGAGTACTTGTAGCACCTTACAGACTAACCAATTTAT